CCCAACAGTAGGGGTATTGGTCACACAAGGAGTATAAACGATACTCAAAGCTACTAATGAGCACTCTGCGGTATGAATGACCACGGCTTATTATCGCCACGAAGTAGGGATGGGCAAATTACATATTCTTAGGGTTGATTATATAATTTTATATTATTACACTTTTTGAGGCATACAAAATATTATACCAAGCTTATACATGTGTTTTTTGGACTAATAAAATTATTAGAATAAATAAAAGTGGATTGTTTTTAGAAAAAGTTTTTTATAGGTTGTAATTTTTCATTTAGTATATAATTAGATCTAAAAGTCAGATACTATTTATTTTCTAATTATATGATTTATATATTAATTATTTTCTTTTCAAACTAATTCCAAAATAGCTTCAAAATAGCCTTTTATAGGATTTTATAGGATTTTATAGGATTTTATAGGATTTTATAGGATTTTATAGGATTTTATAGGATTTTATAGGATTTTATGATTAGTTATATATATAATGCGATTTGATTAATATTATATATTATATTCAACTGATGAATATGCGATATTATATATTATTAAAAATCCCAACCCTACTACGAAGAGATGTGTAAGTCAAGAGCCTTCAAGTCTTTATTCTCGACTTTGACCGCACTGAAGTGACTTTATATGATATCGCTTCAGGTAGTCTTTCTACACAGAACATTCCACAATGTTATCTCATTCACCTCATGTGAAAAAGAAGAAAACATCTTTCAAATTGTCTTCCAGTTCTACTTTATGGAGTGGCTGGAATTTGAATACGAATAGACAAGAGGAGTGCAATCTAGTTGTATCGATTCTAGCGGCAAAATCTAATGGAAGTTTGAATATGATCAATCAACGTCCAGTGAAACTAATGAATCTAGAAGGGAAGATACCATGTCGATTGATATTGTGCCGGAGATTATTTCACACTACCCAAGAAGTAACGAACATTCGGTAGTTAACAATGATATTGACATCGTGACAGAGTCATTAGCACCTACTTACCGTCTTAAGTTTATTAGTCAATGCAGACCCTGATATTGTAGAAACTTTCGGAAAGAACGATGCATCTATGCAGCATAAGAACCTTGACTTAAGTAAGTGCTTTTAATATAGAAGACATATACAATTACTAAATTGTAATAGATCATAAAGTGCATAGTGCTAGGGAAGTCACATTTGGAAAAGTAAGTTCTCAATTTCCTCTCCAGATAGTGAGGTTACATTTAATTTAGGCAGATTTTGAAAGTCCTTTGGTCCGAACCGTCTGGGGGTTCAGCTGAAGACGAAGCATTTTCGTCGCGAAGAAAGGAGCATGGTGAGATGATATCTGCAAAGCTTCGGAGGTTTGTTATTATAGGCTTTAGACAGGGTGGTTGTCTTTATAAGTTTGATCCCGTATCTTGATATCTACATAGTTACTGGCTGTCAAATTAGATCAATTTTAACTTACAGAAGAAGAGCGACAGGCAAGCCAGGTGTGCATGCTGAAGAGCACATCATTATCTACACGATGAAGCCGGCATTGGCTCCGAATGAAAACATTAGCCAAATGATATTCAAACGATGAAAACGATACCAGACTCAGCACAACATCATCTCGACCTGGCACCCAGAATGAACTATGCAAAAACTTATACTGCGGGATACAATCTTAGGGATTTGTTCATTGGTCAAAACAATGAGTGAATGTTGATGGAATCCTACGACCAGGCTAGTTTTCATCAAGTCTTTCTAATAAATCGTCTATGCCAAGCTCATACTCAACAGATAATCCCACGTACAGCGATTCAATTCCTACTATACCAAACGATTTAGATACTTCTGCCTTCTCTAATCCCTCGCATTACCCCACAGTCTCAAGCTATGGGAACGGCACACCGTCTTCAATATCGTCCGGTGAGACTAAGAATGGTACTAGCTACTCTACTTCCATTCGATACGATGGATACAGTTCGCAAAGACAAGACCCTCCGACACAGTACAATTCATGATTCATGAATCACCTCTCGACGAACTTCAACAATCACAATCCCACGATTGGTCTTGCTAGCCACTTCTCAGACTACCAACACAGCGCTAGAAGTCCACTTCCAATCATACCTCTTAGCGGCTCACACTTTCAGTTGACATCTAACCAATCAACATCAGCGTTAGTAAACTCGGATAGAGAGAGTAGTCGATTGACTTCGAGCGAACTGTTTCGATATACGGTGGAAACAAGACATATCATTCCCATTCACATGGTCGATCCAGAAATGATACCAAGGATTGCTCGTCGAGACAGACTTTACCTTTCCCAACATATGATGGCGGTTCAAATTGAGATGCGTCCATAGATTCCCACAATGTCCTAAGAGGTAGTGCCGATGAATTCGTACCAACACTGGCCCACCCAAGAGGACAAAAATACAAGATTCTGTTGGACTGCAAGGCAGTCAGGATTTCACAAATCTTAGATTCAAGCACTTGAAGCCGTAGTGACTCATCTGGTAGCCTAGAGAGCCTTGGTTCATTATTTTCTTCCGCATCCTCGTTATCTTCGTCATCTTCCACGGGGTTCCGAATGATGAGTACACAAAATAGATTGTTAGAATTTTGTCAGAAGACGATGAGTTGAAGATACTCTATCAAGAAGCCTTGGAAATCACAACGCTAGTGAAGTCAGAGTAAACCTTCCGAAGTTGTAACATACAACTGTCAAAACACCTCAAAGCCGAAATTCCTCAGATGAGTACTGCTTCTCGCTGGATTTTACTTGGCTTTCACTACGCGGCATCTAAAATGAGAGCCGACCTAGAGCATCAAGAAATCACTTGTACCACCCCCACCTACATATTCATTGATGGGTGACATCAGAGAGCCTTTTCCATTTGAGGATGATGAAGAAGATACTGGTAACGACGGAAGTGAGGATATAATTGCCCAACGATTGAGAATTTTGAGATCACTGTTCAATAATCGAGATCTTGAAACTTACTACGGGAGATCCTACGTCTATTTCTAAATCCGGACAACGTTCAAAAGGTCCTCTTCGATAATCGGTCGTCCCTTCAGTCAAGGAAAGTAGCTTATCAAATCAAATATAGTATTTATTGAGAAGTTCTGCAGTTATTAGAGTCATTCTTCTCCGAAGGCCAATCAATCAGGGACATCTTGACACTCACGAGCGACTTTACAATATGCATTGCTATAAGTGTTCAAGATGATTCTTCTAAGAGTTGAAAAGCCATCGAATGTGATCTTCTAACGGACGTTGATATCTATCTAGCTTTGAATGACGAAATTTATGGTAACAGCACCTCTGCTCTTAATATTTAATGAGACGGCCAACTAATGCGAATTTACTAGTGGCCAAGCATCAATCAAGTGAACTCGACTTACTCTCCAGAGCAGCTGTAGAACTAGCGCGAACAATTCTACGAGCATTGACATTTTTGCACTTGCAAAATATGACAATCATCAAATCCTAACTTTTGCAATGTCTTGATTATGCTCAACTTTTCGGCTCTCGAATCAAGATGGCCTATGCCAATCGTTTGTTCAAGTGAAAAACATCTGGGATTCAGATTATGCCAAGCCTTTCACGGGTGAAAATGAAAGCTTTGACATTATTTTAGTCCTAAATGACCTTCAGCCCTTCCCAAAAAGAGGTGACTCTGAATTTTGGCATATATTTATTCCTCTCATGGTTGTTGCTCGGAGAGTTCCATTCAAACAGGTTCCCATGGTCGGGTTTTACAAACTTCATTCCCTGATATGGCATTAGTGATTGGATACTTGAGTCTGGTGATATTTGATACCTTTCTTCATCCTCGCGTAACCCGCCTCGATTGAGACCTCATTCAAGCACAGCCGACTTTCCACGCTCCCACCCTTGCTCGCTAGAATTCGGGGCCAATAAAGCTAGGGACTATACTAACGCACTGACTTGCAAGCCCAAGCAAGGATATCACCCCCTTTCCCTCCCCTCAGTACAAGTGACGACCTCGGGAAATGTGATGAATTCAGGGGTATTGATATTCTATTCGTTTCTAAGTCGAAGCTACTAATTTTTTCCACTGATACAATAGTATTATCACTATCTACTGGGTTCCAGAATCCAAGAGTAGTAAATGAAGGAAGGATTCGAGGCGTAATATTTTTACAAACAAATTTGTTTTAAATGTATAATTAATAAAGGGTGCCAAAATATCTCAGGTTAAAAGCGAACATGAATAACATACTTGAGGTTTTTGTGCACCTTTACCATCTTATTTTAGGGTTGTCTCATATCTTGACATGAATAGTTATTCTCTTGTCGAGCATCTTAATCTTTCTGAGAATCTCAAATTTCGGCTTCATACATAATTAGAAACGTTATGCACAATCACGAGCGTTCAAGAATATGAACAAATCAGTCTTCCCCAAGCAATAAAACAAGAGTTTTCGCATCGAAAAAGTACATGTCAACATTTGATAGGCTAGACTATAAAATTAGATGGGATTGATATGGCTTTTGAGATAAAAGATTGCCTTGGTTGGTTTTAGAGAGGATAGGGAGATTGGGTAACAGGTATTGATATCAACTTCTCGAGGAGATGGGTAGAATATTTCGAAAGAAGGCCTTTTATAAAGCAACTAAGACAGTTCGATATCAAAGGAGGAAATAGATGATACTTATAGGGAAGTACGAAAAGATTGAGTCGGCAATCGTGGGATATTAGGGATGTTAGTCAGATGTGAAGAGAGTTAACAAATTTTTGAAAAATCATCAAGATTAAATCTTCACATGGTAAGTAGTAGGAAGAATGTCAACCTGATGAGATGTAAGTGCACGTATTATTGAAGAGGGGGAAAAATGTTGGAAAATATGAGTGATACGCCTATTCATTTTTATGGTAAAATTTATAGTATTTTGACACATGGATTTCCTAACGGTGAAAAGAACTAATGTATGTCTGTACTTAAGTATCTGGTGACACCAAGACAAATTAATAAGAGTGAATTGTTTACACGCAGTGCAATGTTCCGTCATCATGTGTATGGCACTCTGTCCCAGCTGGGGCAGTCGCAGCGGGACTAGTCTCAGCTGGGATGATTCTTGTCGGGTTCACAGTCGGTACAGTCGATGCAGTCGCTGCAGGAGCACTATGTGAATCCTCCTCCTTTTCATCACTAGCCTTGCCGACGCATCCCTCGCCAGGAACAGCAATATCATACGCATATGCCTCGGTTGCAAAATACGTTAAAGTAGCACTATTGTGTCCTGCCAGCGTATAGTTGCTACCAGCTGCGAGCTCTTGAACACCATGGTACCCATCAGCATGGTGATCGACGATTTCTTCGCCAATGAGCGGAACGTGGTAGAGTCTATGCATGAGATCTGGGGCCCAGAAGTCTGCTGGTCTGCCGGTTGCGACGTTGAATCCTCGCGCGCATAATGCGGTGAGAGGGAGGCGGGTTTGGTAGGAGAGTGGGCATATGACGGTTTCGGCTGTTGCATTTTCACCGCGCCAGTGACCTGCCCATGCTATGAGGTGTCAGACGATCTGAGATTGTGAGGGTATCTTGCTCTGTATGGGCGTACTTACAATCCTGAGTCTCACAGTTTCGGTCAGGATCATCACAACGGAAGACAATGCCAGCGCGGTTACCAGAGGCGATCTTGTCAAACCATCCCATTGGCGTAGCAGTAGGACCTTTGCCGAAATACTTTCGAAAAATCTCGGATTTATTACCATGGACAAGGACTAAGGAGTCGATTAGCATTGGTTTGTTACTGATCATCTCAGGTGGTACTAGCTGTGATTCTTTGCATGCTCAGCCATTTCAGCCGCTTGTCTCAACCCTTCGCTAAGCTCATGACGCTCCGTTGCATTGCAGGATGGGTGAATGGTGAAGTGAGAGACATAATCGCTCTGCCAGTTGTATGCCGGTGCGTGGCCTGAAGAGACAACAAGCTCGGAGACCGGATCAGGAGAGACAGCGGCATTTGCGGTGGTAAGAGGGTACGCCAATGCACCAAAAGTATTGATGGAGACGACGAGAAAACTTAAGATGTACATTTTGAAGTCTGGTTTGACGATGGCAGTATCCAGAGATTGAAAGAGAAAGGTTGATGAGATTTTGTGTGAGACGTATATTCAAAGTGAGGTTCACTTCGTCTTTTGAAGTAGTTACCTCTCCGGGTTCTCACTCTTGCTTCGGTCTTGGGAAGCCACCATGTTTATCGAGCATCTAACCTCGTGAAGGCCAAGGACTTGGTCTGACTACTGCAAAGAGGAGAAGATTTCAAGGCCAACAGGCGTACAGCCAGATAGGTAAGGACCGCGATGTGGTTCCAGCGGAAGATCAATATGCCAATTACATCTTGACGTTTGACAAGCCAAGGCGAAGAACTTTTCAGAGTGCAGACGCCTAGTCCGTCATGCAGGATTAGACACTGCATGAAGTAGAATTAAATCTATATTACACCAAAGTATAATAATGATACAAGACTTATAGTATATTATAATCTGCGGTTATTGTCTTGTCATCGACGTTGGCCAATCAAAATTCTTAATAACTGTTTTTGAAGGGAGGTGGGGTACCACTGGTGTACGTCATTTGTGATTATGTAATCCACAGAAACACAGAAATTTTCCCCCTCGTTCAACCTCATGACTCTCCCAAAGAGGCCTCGTCCTCCCCAGAGCTGCGTTATTGTATTTGTGTCCAATGTAAGAGGACCAGCCCTACTGTCGCTCTCAACTCTGTATGAAAGAGTCCGGTAGGTCTTTCACACAGCCTTTTATTCATAGTAGGCCATTTTGAATCTTTGACGATCACGTCGGCCGAAGTTGGATACTTTGAGTGTTCAATAGGTAATGAAAGGAAAAGAAAAAGAAAAAGAAAAAGAAAGGCTCTACTTCCGTTGCCATTCTTGGAAAGAAAAGGGAATAGAAAGATATCAGTCATGTCATCCATCTTGGATTTTGAAAGCCAACCCTCATTCGACCCATCAAGGTTCTCATGCCCAGGTATGCCAAGCTCTATCTGCCATTTAAGCTCATCTTGTCGGCGCCATTCGAATTTTTTATTTGTGCAAGATTGTGAGCCAAGTCGGTCTCTCTTCCCGTTTGCACGATTAATTGTTTAATAATGCTGATGGAATTTTCTCGCCTTCACTCCCAACATCAATCAGTGAGCAGCAATTCTTGAATCCGATTGACCTAGCTCTGATTGCAGACTTTCTAACCTTTGAATTTTCCGTTCTATCGAGCTAGAGGATTCAATTGACAAGATAAATACTAGACGTCGGCCGCAGATTGATATCAAATTTAGTTTCCCTTCTTGATTTCATCCCTTCCCCAAAGCCTTTTCTCTGAAAGCCGTTTCTCTCTCCTTCATCCCCTTATTTTTACACGCCTTCTTTGTGGTGCCGTTTACGAGATGTTCAGTTCTCGATTTTCTATCACTCTGAGAAGTGTGTTGCTTTTTTCATTGCTCGGTGCCATCACAAGGGCTCAGATCACGCTCACGGGCTGCCATATCCAGGAAGGACAAGAGTGAGTCTTTCGTGTTGCCAATGATAGGTAGTACTGTATTTAATTGTATACAGAGTATGTTTCCTTCCCGGGGGGGCCGAAACCACAATTAGCAGCAGCACTTCTACTCCTACTCCAACTCCAACTCCAACGTCTCCAGCTTCGGTGACCGCAGAGACGACTGGAATTGCGCAGACTACTGCCATTACTGACTGCCACCAACATGATACTACTCAGTATGTACAAATCTTAAGTTTCAAGATGATAGAGCTAATAAACTTCTAGGTATTGTGTAAAAGGCAATGGCGAAGAGGTTCAGGTATTGGCGACTGCCACTGCTAGTGAAGCTCTGCCTACGGCTTACAATGGCTGCCATTCTCACGGCTCTACCATGTTCTGCTTGAGACCCGATGGTGCTGAAGTTGAGGTCTTGGGTTCTACTGAAGGGGTGGCTTCCACTGAACAGGAGAGTTCTGGGGAGTCTGAAGGTGGAGAGAACTGCCACTTCCATGCCGGTGTTGAGTATGTTACCCAATCGCGTTGATCACGTTGCCAAAATTCTGATCTGTGGTAGACATTGTGTTGGTGGTTCCGCTGCGGCAACCTGCGAGCGAAAAGATCGCGATTACAATGTCAAACTCCGCATTGGGCTGTTGTTTGTCATCCTCTTCACAAGTGCAATCGGTAAGCCCCTTAACCGGAAAATTGCCTCCTTCTAACAGAGATCAGGGGTCTATGCTCCGATTTTCATGACGCGAGTTCTAAAGACCAATGGGACTGGAATCGTTTTCACCATTGTCAAGCAGTTTGGAACTGGTGTCATCATCTCCACAGCCTTGATCCATGTTCGTCTTTCAATCCTCGCCCGAAGTAAGCAAGTTGCTGACCGAATTTAGCTTGCGACCCACGCTTCATTAATGTTTGGCAACAGGTAAGCAGCTTTTACCTCTAGTTGTAATTTGTCAGTACTTATTTCAACATAGTTGTCTTGGTGAATTGAAGTATGAAGCAACCACGACCGCTATCATGATAGCCGGTGCGTTTATCGCTTTCGTAATCGACTTTACTGGTCATCGACTCGCACATTGGCGCCAGCAATCCACTATAGAGAGACAAACTGCCAGTATCAGCTCTCAGGACAACTCACGTGACGAAGCCGCAGTAAAAGGCCACCCTACATCTACGCTCGCGCACCTAAGCCACCACCACGACATTAACAATGTTGGCACCACCCACGCCAATGATGGTTTCAGTATCTTCATCCTCGAGGCTGGTATCATTTTCCACTCCCTTCTTATTGGTATCACATTGGTGGTAGCAGGCGACTCAGTCTTCATCACCCTCTTTATCGTCATCGTCTTCCACCAGATGTTTGAAGGACTTGCTCTTGGCGCCCGAATTGCAGTAATGGATGGTCTTCACACCATCAAGTACATAATCCTTCCAATGGCCTTTACGCTTGTTACTCCAATTGGAATGGCCATTGGAATCGGTGTTATCAACAAATTCAATGGCAATGATCCATCGACCATCGTTGCTCTTGGAACCTTAGATGCCCTTTCTGCTGGTATTCTTACCTGGATCGGCTTTGTCAACATGTGGGCTCATGACTGGATGTACGGGGAGTTGAGGAATGCTGAGTTGGCCAAGACTTTAATCGCTTTGGTCAGTCTAATGGGAGGCATGGCGTTGATGGGGCTCCTTGGAAAATGGGCATAAAAAGCGCTCAAAGATCTAACTTAAACTGTATTCGATAACCTTTTAAGAATGTGTTCGAGTAATCTGTGAGATAAAATTCAATGAAGAGGTCACAAAAAAGTGTTTTAGGGTTAATTCGAAGACGATATAAGTAGGAGATTATTGTTACTACTATTGTTATGTCTCTGAAAATCAGCAAGAATCCCCTGAAGAAGAATTAATATACAATGATAGAAGATGCATGGATGAGCATAGGAATAATGCTAACATTCTAGAAGTCTCACATAACTATGAGCTCTTGAGTGGGAAGATTGAAAGTCAATTTGTCACTCCGATTGTCTAATTGAAAGTTGCGCGCTGATTGACTCTAGCGAGTAGAAGTCTTTCATGAACGACAATCTATCGTCATGTCAAATTCTCCATGTGTAGAGCTGACTTACTTAGTATTAAACAGCTACTTTCAAACTCAGTCTGTACACCCTTAAAGACCACTTTATATACATTGGAATAGAAGACATCGAAATACTACCGAAGAAAGGATTACTGTCCTAGCTATTCCATAGAAACATCACTTTTTCAGGACTGCTTTTGAACGCTTTTTCACTTTAGCTTTATAAAGGCCGAGGAGGCAATCAAAGCGCTAGAAGCTTTAGAATGGCAGAAGCTCTTATTGAGCTCAATTATTAGTGTCGTTTGTTGGTTAAGAAGTAACATATGATGTCAAGATGTGGTGGTCTTAGAGAAAAAGTGTCGAGTCACTTGATTCGTGACCAGAAGTAAAATTGAATCACGCATACAAATAAATATAACAGTCACACGTGGGTTTTATTTGATCAACCGTCAACGTTCCGACTGAAGGAATTTTTTAAAATGGATTTTTAAAACTCGACCATCGAAGCTGAACAATGCACTTTGTTCTCAGTGTTTAAGACTGCAAATAGCAACAAAGCTTGGCTGTTCACTGTAGAGTGTATTATTGGAGATTCTTGCTCGAAATTGAATGAACCAACAAAGCTTCGATCTTCAAGGAAAATTAGAATCATGAAGCATCAATTATCTTTGTCCTAGATTGTACTTCATCATTCTCCTATTGCATTTGAACCTCAATACCTACCATACTGCCTTCATCGAACCATCCTTGTCATTGACTACAATAATCTTCAATTCCCATGGCACAAATACCAGAGCGAGCCACAATCATTTGTTTGTCTTGCGGGATGCGTTCTACGTGCTCTTTGAGATTATTGTGGCCGGCGATGGCTAAGTTGGCTTTTTCTGTATTTGGCGCGCGAAAAGTATGATAACAGTAACAGGATAATGCACACCACCCAAAACGAATGCGTCTTTATTGAGGCAGTCTACACCTTTTCCAGCTGTATTGATGAGGATAACATTGTATTTGTTGAATGTCTGCAAATATCCGGCATGGTACACTGGGTGCTTGCACCATGTGAAATGTCAGGATTAGAGTATGTCCGCCACAGGAGAATCCGTAACGATATTCTTTACGCTGTCACGAACACGATTCATTCGCTAGATGCCAATAGTGTTGAGGATCTGATATGTGTGGCAATCATTCAATTAGCTTTGATGCAACAGGGTTTCCAACGAGCGATACCATTTCGATGATGTTAGTCCATTAATCGTCTTTCAGGCTGGTGCTGGGTTGCTCTCCAGTGGTAAAATGGTTGTGAAAAGTCTCTAAATGCTCTCTCTGCCATCTCTTTAAAAAATTCACTTCCTTTTAATGCCTACGAGGATGATAAATAGTGTGAAACCCCCCGAGGTCTTGCGTAAAGTGATTGCATCACGAGTCACGCCTGTTCAATGATCTTGGCGTTTGGAAACATGCGATACCAAGCAGACAAAGCTCCACAAGTCTTTATCTTAGAGGGATGATTCAAGAATTCATGAGATTCCTTAACAGTCAGTGTCTTTCTGTTTCTGATCACGACTATCCACTGCGAAAGTTGTACACTGAACGGCGTACAAATGCTTCGACCATTGTGCAAGATGTGAAACTACTTGCACAGCCGATGAATCAGTTCCAATGATAGCTACTATTTAATCTTCTATAAGCGATGGATCTTTTAGCGATCCTCCGGTGACCGGGTATTTACAGCGCGAATTGTGGAAAATATTAACCTGGTAGTCCGAGATTCAGGAAAATCATAGCAGTTTAGACTAATTGGGAGCGCCATTCACCAAGAAGGATAAGTGTACCATAAACTATTTCTAATTTCAACGAGTAGTCTATTACTGGGTGGAGTTGAAAATTATATTTTCACTGTTTTCAATTTCATTCCAATCTATCACGAATGAAAAACTATCGGAGTCCTCCATTTCAAGAGTGGCATTTTTCTTACTTTCATAAAATTGATATGTCAACTCTTCCATTCTCCGTCGAGCTATCAAGTAGTAATCGGTCCTGAACCATTTTTCACTATTCTCGTTTTTGGTAAGCGGATGCACCGGTGAGGCCCCTGCAGCAGACTTTTTACGTTCGAAACCTCGAAGGTAAATTGCGATATGTAACACTATGAAAAGATACATACCTCCTTTCCTTTCATCACAGTGCACCCGGGTACCCTCCAGACATTTTGGAAGCCCAACGCCAGTAATACCTCCATTTGTCAGATAAAATAGTCCTTTAGAAGCGTTCGAAGCGATATCTCTCGTGTTGGGAATGTCTTTCAAATCGACGGCTTTGCACTTGCTAACAGTTGATGCATTAGCTATCCGAGAGTTTCATGTGAGGCAACTGATCGTGATATCAACTTTGTTGGTATTGTGACTTGTTTTTAATCAGCCTGTCGTATCCACCACTGTTGTTAATGATTGTATTCCTGTCTTTGTCTCTGTGTGTTCGGTGCTTAGCCTTTGGTGCTTGATGAATACACTAGCTACCATGGCCACAGCCGCCAAGCACGTATACAATATAAACATATTCCTGAGGCTCCATGCAAAAGCTTCTAGAATTACCCGACGTTGGAAAGCATCCTGAATTAACTGCGGAATACCCACATTTGCCGCTGCCTGGCTACCTGACAAAGCCTTAAGAGCAGTTTCATTGAGGCCAGCGGCAGCAAGGGATGATTGTCGTGCATCCATACTATTTTGAAAAACCACACCACCAACCACGACAGACAACGCCATTGCAATGTTGCGGACGAAACCTAAGGAAGCTGTGGCTGCGGCAGTATCAACCTGGCTAACAGTGTTCTGAATAGCAACCATAGGAGCCTGGAAAAGAAGAGAGGGGCCAAAAGCACCAACAGTTTCCAACCCAATGACGACTGCAACGGATGTGTCGGCTCCGAAATGTATGTACAACCCTGTTCCTAAAGTCATAAGGGTCGTTCCTACCCACATGAACTCCCTATAGCGACCTGTGCGGTTGATAGTAGCACCAGCCATAATCTCAAGGACGGCTTGTATTACTATCAGTGGTAGCAACAAAACACCACTACGAAGAGGTGACACTTGTAGTACACTTTGAAAGTATAATGGTAGATAATATTCAATACCTATTAGAACCATGCTGTGGGCAAACACAACTGTAAACGTTGCATTGTTGGACGAATTTTTAAACACTGCTAGCGGCATCAGGGGATACTTGGCAAGTCTTTTCTCGCTAAAGAGAAAGAACCCGATCATTAGAGTTCCAAATACTATCAAGCAGATGACTTTCGGGCTGTTCCAGGGAAATACTACACCACCGAAGTCGAGTCCGACAAGAATGAGGAGGGTTACCGCCAGAATAGAGATTGTCCCGAACCAGTCGACAGCTCGAACGCCTTCAATTATCTTTGTGCGCGGGTTGTGCACATCGAGCAACATAAGTAGGAGAACGAAGGTTACTCCCGAAATGGGAAGATTGATCCAGAAGCACCACCTCCAGCTCTTGTACTGAATAAAAGCTCCCCCAATTAGCGGACCAGCTGATCCAGCGACTGCCCACACGAATCCAACGAATCCCAAGTATAACGATCGTTTCCGTACACTGAAAAGATCTGAAATCGTGATGATCACCACTTGTCCTAGACCACCACAAGCGACACCCTGTAATGAGCGTGCAGCGATGAGCATTGTCATGTTGATACTTAGCGCCACAAGTATACTAGAGACTGCGAATAAGCCGATTGCTGCGAGGAGCACGGGCTTGCGGCCCCAGATGTCGCTGAATTTTGCCCAGATTGGGCCTGTAGCGGCGTTGGCAAGCAGGTAGGCGCCACCGATCCAAACATAACCAGAAGCAGAATGCAAATCAGCACAAATTGTGGGAATGGCTATTGAGACAATTGTCTGGTCAAGAGCGGCTAGGCCAAGGGCGAGCTACAAGGTATCGTTAGCTAGGCAGTAGTGGTTGAAATTGGAGTGGGTAAAGTCACATAGAGAGCTAGTAAAATAGCGTAAAGACGCAGCTTCGTGCGAATTTTTGGACCTTCTACAAGATCGAGGGGCGTTATTGGGTTATCATTGGAAGAAAATCCCGGTGATGAAGTCTCTCCGGGTCCGGACAAAGCAACATGTGCTGGTGAAGGATCGGTGGTCGCGTTGATCTCCATGATCGTTTGATAAATAATGCAGAATTATATTGTTTTGAAAACAAGAGAATACCTTTTAGAGATGTTCTTATAGAGATTGGTGGTGGAGCAGGGTTAGCTCGGGCCCAAGTAGCTACCCGAGGACTTAACCCGTTGTGACTCACCGGTGAGATTGTTCCATTTTACCCGTGGTAATGTAAATGCTTCTCCGGAATAAACAACCGCGAGAATCTATTGTACAAGTAGGTAACTATCGGTACCATTCGGATGATTCATACCCTACTCATTTAGACAGTCCCTCAAAAGACTCCCTGAAGAATATCAAAGAAACTGCTAGTGTGTTTGTAATACAATCTTCAACGAAGTTCAGTGTTACATTACGCATGAGCAATGAATAAGGCACTTTTCAAATATAACTCATTAATGAGCGAGTGTGATCTGCAGTGGCTTACAGCATATTACGTGCGATTTCTCTAGAATGAGCGGGTGAATAGATGATCATATTGCGGGAATCTTGAGGTTAATGACGCGAGAGCTATAGATATATACATGTGAAAGTAACGACTGCTCAGAATGAATAATCAATTTGTATAATTAGTCAATGAAATTGAGAGCTAAATATATCAAAAATCGAATTTCGGATTTATAGTTTTCGAAAGTTCATATCTTGAAAAGATAAAGTTTAGCAATTTTCATTAGATATAATTGTAAATAGTATTCTCTCTACTAAATTAAATTTTGAAAATATTTATACCTTAATAAACAAAATTTATTTGATAATAGAAATTTACTAAATATTTTGTAGCGTGTAGAACATATACTAGTAGTACAGCTTATATAACCTATATAATCGATATCTTGAAGTAGTATAGTCTTAGCTTTAATATTCGATTAGCTTTACAACTTAATACTTCATATCTATTATATTTCAAAAGTAATTTTTATTACTTTTTATAAAGTAACTCTATTAATTCTATAATATAGTTTATTAGTACATGTATTAAAATATACTACTTTTATTTCAATAGACATTTTCAAATCTATATTATTTAATAAGTATGAATTCAATTAATTAAGATTATCAAGAGATTAACAATCTGATATCTATTATATTAATTTAATTGACTTTTATAGAATATTTTATCTTTTTATATTTATTATAGTATGAATCGAAAAATATATTCTTATTAGAATTCTTTTTATTTTAATATTGATTATATTGAATTTAAATATCATTTTTTTAGATAATTAAGTTTTTTTAGGATATTGATATTATTTGATAATTTAGTTATTTTTTAAAAGATATAAATCTTTGTAAGAGTTATTAAACATACTCACCGTATACTATAATGTTTTATAATATTATTTCTATAAATTTCATATTACTCTATATAAACTAAAATATTATATAATTAATATGATTATTGATATTGAATTACAAAAACTTTATAATAAATAATATGAACTATTCTTTATACATAAGAGTCTCTAATTTATTTTTAAATATTTTTATTCAAAATTTATATAAGCTATTAATTGAAAAAGTTCAAAATTTTTACCTTATAATACTTTTCTTATAAGAGTTATCAGTATTGCTTATTGTATATTATAACGTTTTGTAATATAATTCCTACAAAATTCAAGTTTTTTTATACAAATTAAAATATTATATGATTGATTCAATTCTTAATAATAAATTAAAAACTTTATAATAAATAATTTGAATTATTATATATATAACGAAAATTCTGATTTGTTCTTAAATATCTTTATTAAAAAGTTTAAAAAGCTTTTAATTAAGAAAACTCAGAATTTTAAATTTATAATACTTTTCTTATACCAAAATAAAAAAATTTAAAAAAAGAATTTGAATTTTCAACTTTAATCTCTTGAAAACATCATTATAAAAATATTTTGAAATAAAAGAAATATGTTTCTGAGTAATTTTGATAATTCTATATCTTTTTGTAATACAATTCTTGTTTTTATTTTTTATTATAATAAACAAACTAAAATACGAAAAAAAATCTCATGTTTTAATCAGAAAAGCATTATTTATATAATAAGCAATAACCCCAACTCTTACAAAACAGGCGAATTTTTCAAATCTTTTCGAATTTTTAATTTTAACTTTTAAAAAATACTATTATAAAAATATTTAAAAATAAATCATAATTTTTTTAAAATAATTTAAATAATTGCTAATTCATATTTGATATAATTTTTAATTCAATCATATTTTATATTCAATAAACCAGGGCATAAAAACTCGAATAATTGAATATTTTAGTCAAAAAAGCGTTATATATACAGTAAGTATTAATTAAGTCGCCTACTCTGTATTCGGGCCACTTCTGTTTTAAGCTATCCTTTATTGTTAAAAATCTCAAAAAATGGTATTTCTGACTTTTCTTATTCATGAATGAAATCTATTGAATATATATATATATATATATAATTAAAATAGTTTTGATTTTATTTTGAAATTTTACGATTTTTGGAACTTTTTTACATTAAGATTTAAAGCTTTAAAATATTAGTTTTTAAATTTATATAGAAATTACACAAAGATAATATACAGATTTGAAACTTTCATAAAATCTTTAATAAATTTCTAATAAATTTTCTTAAAAATGAATTATAGAGTTTCGTTATAAATGTATCGTTTATTTACTCTAAAAGATTGAAGAAAATAGAAAATTTCTTGTAAATATATATTTAAAAAAATGCTCTTGAAATTGCAAGGGTTATATATACCTCTCTACGGAGGTCGCGGTCATTTTGGAAGAGATTATAGGCTCTTTCAGGGTATATACGCTGTAAGGTTCTATAATTCGTCGGATTTGGTCGGGATCTATAAAATCTGATCTCTACTTTACCCGAATAGGCTAGTAATGCCTGTATTCTAGGCTCAATTAGGCTCTAAATCAATCCAAAACTATAATACCTAAAGCTTATAGATTTGTCGAATTTAATGCAGGCTTAAAATTATCTAAATATAGATTCTATAGTGTCCAATTAGTGTGCTTGATTATAGGTATCTACAAAGCTACCTAGTCTCTTCCAAAATGACCGTGACCTCCGTAAACTATTTCTCTATATTTGTTTAATTTTTTAATTTTTTTGAATCTCTATATGAGTTTTAGTTTGAAACTTTCAAAAAGATATATAGCTTTCTTCTAATAATTATTGACAAAAAATTATTTAATAATTATTGACAAAAAATTATTAAAGATTTTATCAAAACTGTAAATTTATATATGATTTTTATATAAATCAAAATATCAAAATTTCAAAGCTTTAGAATTCTATCTATAAAGATACTAGAAATTTAATTTTTCAGAATAAGCTTAAAACGATCTGAATTATAGATAAAGAGATTTTTATCAAACTATATAATATATTAATAGGAATATAAATATATCAAAAAAGTGATTTATGATAAAAAAGAGTGGCTCAAAACCAGGGCGGTTTGAAAATAGGGTGAGCGATTTAAACGAAAGTTTTTATAGAATTGTGAAATATTCGAAAGATTTAGGTATTTAAAAATGAGAATAGGAGGAATGTATATATAGTTTTGAAGATTTTATCTAAAAAATAGAACTTTAAATTAAACAGAATCAATTTTATTAGTTGTAATTCTAATTTTATATTTTGATTTGTAATTGATTATTAATACATAGTTTCGAAAGTTATAAAAAATTCAATTTTTGAAATATAATTGATATCTATATATATTCATAACTGCTTCAATTTGTATATCATATTTTTATTTTGAGATGTTGAAATATATAATATCAGACGGCTGAATTGAATAATTTGAATGTAGTAGTGAATTTATATATATAATATTATTTTTCTTATAATAATTTTAAGGTAATATTGACTTATAATATTTAAATTTATTCAATATTAATATTCGATAGTTTCTTTTTCTTTGATTTCTTATATATTTATTGAAACATTCCATTTCATTTATTTTGAATTTATTATATTATTTATTGATTTCTTGAATAAAAGATAAATGATTCATTTTGTAAGTAAGTCTTTTTAATATGATAATTAAAAAAGTATATTCGTTTTTAAATTCGTTTTTAAATTATTAGAAATAGAGATATAGTATTATTATTATTATTATCACTTATTCTTTATTATCTTAATGGCCTAAGTGGGAATATTGAATAGTACCCCCACCGTACCCCCACAGAATACAGTATCTGAACTGTACTCTGATTAGGTATTATACATTACTCTGATATAATGGAAATATTATTCAAACTTGGTACACTATCAAAATACCATTTGCTAATCCCTATAGATAACCCCTGTAGACCCTGAAACTATAGGCTCAAATCCCTGTAGTCAGTCTCTATAGGCTCTAAAACTAGCTTTTATAAAGCTTATAATATAAATCTAAAAAAAAGCCCTTCTATTAAGTCTCTAGTATTAAATACTTAGTAATCTTTTAAAATAAATTTAGGCAAAAAAAGCTATTATTTAAACAAATACGAAAAATATAATTAAAAAAATTAATATATTTTAATTACTAATCAAATTTTATATAGTATTATTATATATTATATTAAGGCTTTATTTTTGATATTACAAATTTTGCAAATTTAAAATTATTATACGAATATAGTTTTATAAATATATAATTTATTGAATTCGATTAGTTGAAATTATATATATTAATCTTTGGAATAATCTTATAAATCGAATTCTAGAGGTATGAAACTAATATTAATTAAAATATGTTTATTTTTTATTTTTTATTGAATTTGTATTTTTTATTATATTATTATTATATTAAAGTCTTCATAATAGATTAATATTATATAATTAAATGAAAATCAATTTTAATTTTATTTTATTAAGAGCCTTTCTTTTAAATCTCTAATTAGATATAATACTAGTATTATATAGGGTTTCGAATACAACACTAGTATTATTTAGGTATTGTTTAGAGATTCAAATATCATATAGGATTTCGAATATAGTATTAGTATTGTTCGAATATT